TGCTGCCAATGCTGCTTGGTCATTGGCTGATAAATTGGCACCATGATGGTTGCCTGCAATGACATCTTCGATGGTCAGTGCTTGACCACGATGTAAATAGGGCGCAGATTTCCAAACCCCTAAGAGTGAAGGAACATTGATAGCACTTAGCGGCAGTCCAAGGCGTTTGCCAGAAGACGCATCGATGGTTCCCACATTCATGGATTGGTTATTTTCAAAGCTAGGTGGTACGTGACACTTGGCACAAGCTTGTGTAAAGAGGCTTTGACCTTGCTGAGCCAAGGATGTTAAGCGCCCATCATTTTCTCGATAAGGACTGCGTGGCGTTTTATTGAGCGACAAAATGTACTGCGCCAGCGCATCTAATGTTTCACTTTTCCCAGCTTTTTTTGCACCAAGTGGATCTTCACTCGCTTTAAAATCAACATCTTGCATAAATCCAGTGCCGCCTTGACCATTACGAATGTCTTTTTCAAAGTCTTGCAATTCATCAAAATTACCAGACCAGTGCAACAAACCCATGCCGCCTCGAGCACTCGTTAGGGAAATCGTATTGCGTAAGCCTTCGCCACGATGAGTAAAGTCCCAAATCATACCGTCCTCACCACCATCATCATGACACGAGGCACAACTCATATAACCGTCACGGTTCATTCGCGAATCGGCAGCATTATAGAAAATTTGTTTTCCCTTTAAGACAGCAGCTGGCATCGTTTCTTTGCTAACAGCTTTAACAACCGCTAATCGTGGCATAACATATTCTTTTTGTTTTAAAATCGCTGAAACGTCAAAAACATATACGTCTCGGCTATTGAGGTTGCTGACCCACAATTTTTGAGTTTTGGGATCTAATACCATATCTTGTGGCGCTAAACCCACGTGTGTTACGCCACCTAAACGAGCTCCACTGTATCGGTCTAAAACTTCGATCATGTTAGAGTTTTGGAGAATAACAAAGGCATAATCGCCTTGCGGTGAAAAAATAACACTTTTGGCAGGGGCTCGATCATTAAAATCGATTTGGCGGCTAAAATCTTCTTGATCGGTGGTTAAACTGATCTGCGAAACGATACTCCTAACGGTGTTTTCGTGAGTGAGAGGCTGCCCATCTCTTTGTAACCCCCTAACGATATTATCTTTTTTGGAAGGGACCCACAAATGTTGTCCGTCTGGCGTGATGGCTAAGCGTGCGAGATAGTTTGGAATCCCGCGTGCACGATCTTCGCCATCGATGGTACGGCGATCAATGGCCAGTGGAACTCGTTTGAGCTCACGTAAATCACTTAAATTGACCACACTGATCTCACCTTGTTCATGGCTTGAACGAAAACGTGCGACATAGGCCAAATTTTTGTCGAGATTAACGGCAATCGCTTTGGGGTCAGGATTGATTTTAGCGGTGGCACGAACAGATTTTTGTGTTGTGTCCACGCTAATGAGTTCCCCTCGTCCTTCAAGTGTGACTAACATTTGCCCATTGGGTAAAATCACCAAATCACTTGGGGCGCTGCCATACGGTAAATCCATGTAATGAATCACGGGAGGCTTGCTTGGATCATTCATTTTTTGGTTTAATGAGATGGTGGCTAATTGGTCATCGTCTTGTAAAGTGACCCACAATTGGTGGTTTGCATCAACCGCTAAGCTAAGCGGTTTTTGCCCTACCTGAATTTCCCATTGTTTTTGATGGGTATTGGCATGAAAAGCACTGACGGTATTGTTGTCTGGATTAACACTATAAATCATGGTGTTATCAACAGTGATCATTTGAGAGCGCAGTGCTGCCGTACGCATGGGTGGGCTAACGATGGCGATGGTTTCGGAATGATTTTTTTCATGGCTTGGTGTTTTGATTAAAAACCGAAGGGTGTAGTGCCCTGGTTGCCTATACTGGTGTGAAATTGTCTCACCGGCTTTGTGATTTTGTGCGGGGCTACCATCACCAAAATCAATGGTGACAGTGGTATTGGTGCTTTTATCAAATAAGGATTTAAGAGAAATGTAGAAATGTTAACGGGAGATTGAAGTGCAAACACACCGTTTTGACCACCAACCACATGAACATCAATCGGTGGCGAGTTATAAATGGTTTGAATATCAGTTGCTTGTAAAATTTTTTGATAAATACGTAAGTCGGCAAGTTGTCCTTTAAAGGTCGGGGCGGAGGTATCGCCAAATTGCCCAATGGCTTGATAGGGTGAGCCGTGTGCAAGCGATTGGAATAGCTGCGTAGCACCGAGCTGATATAACTGATCATCGATCAGGTCAAGTAAAAGCAGATCGCCTTGTGGAATCGTAAAGGTATCGACATCACACAATACTTTCAAGCGACTACAAGCAAATTCAACCATCGACTTGGCGGGCAGGATGCGTGTTATGCTATTGACGATATTGTTGATAGTTTGTATGGTCGATTTAATGGGCTTGATCTGATACAGTGACCAATTTTGGCTGGCCGCTAACTTTCCGCTGATGAGTTGTTTTTGTTCTTGTAATTGTCCATCCACAAACAATTGCACTTGCCCTGTTTGGCTGTCACGATTCATGACCACATGATGCCATTGATTGTCGTTTATGGGCATATTGGAACGAACACCTTGATTTTGACCGACATCAAAGCGAATATGCCCTGCGGTATCAAGCCAGCCCCAATATAAGCTTCGATCACCTTGGAAAACGTTTCTTCCTCCCATAATGCCTGGAGAAGTTTGTGCGCTTGTGCCGCCTTTTTGCTCGGTTTTCACGTAAAACGCCATGGAAGCAGTTCCGCCCAGTTGTAGCGATGTGTCTGCATTTAAGGCAATATAATCATTGTCGTTTCCAGGAAAGGTAGCTGTCTGGGTTTTAAAGTTGACCTGACCCATCGGCGTTCCGTGGACAAAAGAAATCTGATTTCGTGCCGATTGAACTAGTGGCCAAAAATGAGCGATTTGATCGCTTTTATCACCCGTGGTAAAGGTGTAGATAAAATCCTTAGCAAGGCCATTTTGTGCGTAATCTTTGATGCCGCCTGCTTTGAGTGTAACGGTGTATGTTTCAAAGGGTTTTAGTGGGTTTTTGGGGGCAAAATTGACCATGCCTTGTAAAGTACTGTAAACCCCATCGACAATCTGACCATCCGATGATTGCAGCGTCAACGATTGTGCATTCACAGAATTTAAATCGATATTGTCCGAAAAGGCTATACCAATCCGTGAGGTGGTAGCCTGCGCACTGCTATTGGGCATTGGAGAAGTTCGATTAATGGCAGGAGGGGTTTTGTCGGGCTTAACATCGTGTACCCAAAATCCATTGCCTGTTGCATGATCGTTACCGATATAGACCAGATTGCCAAAAATGGATACCTGTCCATGGTCTGAGTGCTCGACACCTAAAAAACCTTTTCCGAGGATTTTTGGAGAAGTGATATTGCTGACATCGAGCTTAACAATACTTTCTTGGATCCCAAGAATCACATGTTTGTCTTGCATGGAGCAATACAGCCCTTCCTTAAGCGCAATACTTTTAACACTTGAGATAATCTTGGGTGCGTTAACATCTTGAAAACTAACGCCTTCAAGTTTACCCTCTGGAGTGCGTCCCATGAGATAAACATCGTTGCCATCATAACAAGTAGCATAATATTTTTCAAATCCACTGGCTTTAGATACCATAACAGGATTAACAGGGTCACTGATGTCATACATTGCAACAGGGTCGGTCGATTCCATGCCCGATAACAACAATTGATTACCAAAAGCAAAAATTGGACCAACCCGAAATCCGCCTAAACTAGGAACAGGTACAGGATTGCCTACAAGGTTGTTCGCAAGTTTAGGTTGTGTAATATCTTGCGTATCAACAATAAATAAACCTAAGTTGCCACCTGTCACATACAAATAATTGCCTTGCCAAGCAAGCTGCCAAGCTACGTTGACGTAGTCGCCACCGTTAACGCCTGGCAAAGCAAGCTCTGAAATCTTACGAATATTTTTGACATCACTAAAATCCCAGAATGACACCCCTTTAACGGTTTGGATCACTAATACCGTTTGATTATTGATCATCGCCGTGGCAATAGCGTGACTTTCTCGAATATCCAATACATTGACTTTATTGATTAATTTTATTTTTCGAGGGTTGGAGATATCGTAAACCAGAAATCCACCTCCCGCAGAGCCACTATCAGGTGCGTAGGTGGTGACAAAATAGCCGTTAACCAGTAAAGCCACATTCGTGCCTAAGTCTTTAGCAGCTTTGACCTCCTCACGAGCGGGTACACCATTGGTACGGTCGATACGTGCAATAATTTGATAAGCTTCATCGCTGTTATAGGCGATATTACCGATACCAGGACCTATAATTGGGGCTGCTATGCCTAAACTGCCAATTAACAGTGCACCACAGAGCAGTAATATTTTTCCGAGAACGAAAAACCAGTCACTTAGTCTAGGAGATATTGTTTTACTGATAGAGGCTGTTTGCATGTTGTCTCCGCTTTATATAAATTTACTTGTGGCAACTGTAATCAAGTATTTACAGAGAGACAACTAGGGTTTGCCCTTAAATCAAACCTACGGTAGGGTATTTATGAAATCTATCATTGAGTTATGTGGCATTGTGTGGGATTTTGTTCCGAGTCCTGCAACGATGGTGCAAAAGCTTGTGCCGCACCACGACAAAAATAGGCGGCAAATACCCGACCATCAAAATTTTTGACAGGTCGCATCACGGCCACGCTATCTGCTGGACAGCCACAACGCGTAAATAACAGATATTCTGTACCTGATGGCCATGGCATGATAGAACCTGCTTGCAAGGCTTGTTCACAGTAATTGGCATTAAACCCTCCTACAAACCAACCTTTTTCATTCATCGCTTTGATAATATTAGATTTATGCTTAGGATTTGTTTTGATACAGGCGTAAGCTTGGTGCAAAATAGCATCTTGTTCTTGTTTATCTTGAGCATAAAGAACTAAGGAATGGCTACTAGCAACAAAGAATGCCATTCCCATCAAAATGGCAGGTAATTTTATGATCATCATTGTGCCTCGGATTAAAGTTTGAACATTGGTGTAAAAAACATCTTTTCATATAGTTGCTCCATTTAAGATGCACGATTTTGCCAATTCGATACCAGCTGTGAATGCGAAAGGACGACAAAGGCATTGCTATAACAAGACAAGGAAGCGTGACAAAATATACGGTTGATGTTGAAATGAGATGAAATGGTTTAAATAACCTGTTTACCTAGGTAACGCTCACTGCAACGCATGTTTTTTTTGCTATTTTTTTGATAGCTCACCTGAAATTGCAAAGCAGTGTTTACCGATAATAAGGGTTTAATGGTCACAACACAGGCAGGTCGACCAAGACGCCATCGATTACCGCCCTCCCAAGCATCACCGGTGACAACAATCGATGCTTGGCTATTGAGTGTGGCAGTGCCATTGGGCAAATACATTGGACCTGTTGGGGTGATGATGTTGTAGGTGTTGTTGTCTGCGATTTGCAGCATATCGATCTTTTGGAAATCATTGCATAAATCGGTATCGTTATTGTTGATTTGTAAGCATTGTGCAATGGCAAGTTTTAAAGGGCGTAGTGCCTCAAAATTACTGCTCCAGCGCGAACGGGTGATGTAGGCAGAATATTCACTGATACTAAGGGTACCAAGAATACTAACGATGCTTAAAACTACCAATAACTCTAACAAAGTATAAGCTTGGAGGTGGTTTAATCTATTGATTTTATTTTTATTTTTCATGGCAATTTCTCGGTCGTTGTATAATGAACATTAGATCGTCTTGGGTTTGCAATGACTTACGCAAATTAAATGCCAAAAAAGGATTAATAGCAGTTTTTAGTGACACGGAAAATAATCTATTGAAAATAAACAATAAATTTTTTAGTCAAACGTGAAACTAGTTGCGCACCGTTGAATTGATCGACAGAAAACCATCATGAGACGAAATAAGTGACATTTTTTTGTCACTTCATGTTGCTAAATTGTCAGGTTTTTGATCGGTTGTACGATGATATTGATGCATGACGACAATTGGGCAAAAACAACTTGTTTATTCTAAAATGGGTAACAGCGATGTTGACTTTACTCCTGTACAATAGTCTTTTAATTTATCGATACTAGGTGATCGTTCCATGTTTTTAAAGCAGTTTTTAATAAGGTTATCAACAAGATTTAAGGCTTGTAAAACCTTATGGGCAAGTTTATTAGGCTTGTGCTGGGCGGTATTGGCGATCATCGCGCCTCTTGCTGCGCAACCCTTGGCTACACCAGATTTAACCCAGTCAAATAAAGTTGTGCCGCAAGTGACAGCAAGTGCACAAAAGCTATTTATCAGTACTAAACCCAACTTGTTTAAAGTAAGAACATTAGTTGCAGGTACAGAAACACAGGCCAGTGTAGGCTCTGGTTTTTTGGTGGGCAAAGATGGCTACGTTGTCACGAACTATCATGTGGTATCTAGCTATGTGCAATACCCAACCCGTTATCAAATAGTTTTAGATGATGAACAAAACAAAAGTCATCCTGCAACCTTAATGGCCATTGATTTGCTCCATGATTTGGCGGTCTTAAAACTCACCAATGTACCTAGTGATGCCGAGGGTCTAGTGCTTGCGCCAAGTGATCAACATCTAGAAAAAGGCCAACCTTTGTTTTCGTTTGGCAACCCATTGGACGAAGGTTTGTCTGTTATTTCAGGTGCTTACAATGGGTTGGCGCAACGATTTTTCTATGAAACTTATCATTTTTCAGGGGCTGTCAACCAGGGCATGAGCGGTGGTCCAGTGCTTAATACGCAAAAAGAAGTCGTCGGTGTCAATGTTGCGCACAATACCCAAGGGGAGTTGATGAGTTATTTGGTTCCTGTGCGTTTTGTGCATGATATTCTGAATAAAGTGCAAAGTAGTGGTGCCCAGCGTAACAACGATCAAACCATTACCGCGCAGCTCACAGGTCATCAGAAAGCCTTGGCGAATCGCCTATTGCAAAATGGCTTTCGCCTTGAAAGTTATGCAGGCCATAAAGTGGCTTTGTTAGATAACGGCTTGGCTAGGTGTTGGGGCGAGCAGTTTGGCGAAAAAGAAGACGAAATGGTTCTAGCTAAGATTAGTAGCTGTGGTTTGTCTAACCCTGTGTTTATTAACCAAGATTTTTTATCAGGTGGTGTGCAAGTCAAATGGACACTGTACCAAAACAAGGGGTTAAATGCCTTGCGTTTTGCCAGCGTTATTTCTAAAGGTTTTGGTGCAGAGTCTCTGGCCAATTATGAAAGCGAAGAATATTACGGCCAAATGCGTTGCAAAGAAAATTTTGTCAAAAACAAAAATGCTAAGGCGCCAAGTATGCGTGCCGTCATTTGTGTCAACCCTTACAAAAAATGGCGTGGTCTTAACACGTTCTTAGTGATCACAGCCATTCAACGGGGCAACCAAAGTGCACTTATCGGCTCTCTGGACTTGGATGGGTTTACTTTTCAAGAAGGGTTGCCTATTATCACGAAGTGGTTGGAGTCTATACAATGACGTCACAAAACTATATTATTGAATTATTAGATAAAAACCAAAAAGTGCAACAGCGTTGGTGTGTGGATAAGTTTCCCGCGACCATCGGACGAGGCTATGACAACACCATTATTCTGGATGATCCTTATTGTGCGGTCAATCATGCCCAATTACAGCAAAGTTCAGATGGCGTGGTTCAAATCCAAGACTGCGGTAGTAAAAATGGCTTAATGCGATTCAATCAAGAAAAAGCACAATATTTTGGCATTCAAGACGAATGGTTAGGTTTGATTGGACAGAGTGTGGTACGGATTCGACCACAAAATTTTGTTCATCAACCAGAACAAGTGTTGGGTGAAAAACGTGAAATGATCAATAATCTTCATAGCATTGGTCATGTGCCCAAGTTGTTGTGGGTGGTTTTAAGTGTTTTGTTAGCCGCTGGTTTGGCAGCTCTTTCTGCTTATATAGGCGCGCCACCTAAGCTAGAATGGAAAAATGTCATACTATCTAGCTTGGGTTTTACTGCAGTCATTATTGTTTGGGGAGCTTTTTGGGGCTTTGTGGGTAGAGTGGTGAGTGGTGAGAGCCATTTTTATCGACACATTTTGCGCATGGCATGGATGGTCATTGCCATGTTTTTGATCGTCACATTCTGTGAATGGCTTGCTTATAGTTTAAATATCAATAAACCTTATTTATACATTGATTTGATACTCTCTCCATTATTGATCATCTTGATATACAAGACTGTTTATACGGTTAAACCCATTCAGTGGGCAGCATTTTCTGCAGCTCTGGTTTGTGCCGCTTTTCTGACGTGGCAGATTTATGAGGGCAACCACAACAAACCTTATTACCAAGACGCCTATTATGTTGGAGTCCTTAAACCACCTGCAACGCGCATCAGCCCAGATGAGCCTTTAGAGGATTTTTTAGGTGAGGTAAAACAAATGGAAAAGCTGTTACAAAAAGATCTAGACAAAAAGTAAGCGCATGATTCCAGAAAGCTTTATCGATGATCTTGTTTCGCGGCTAGATGTTGTGGATGTCGTTAGCCGTTATGTCGATTTGAAAAAAAAAGGCGCTAATTATTCAGGTTTGTGTCCTTTCCACCAAGAAAAAACCCCTTCGTTTACGGTGAGTGGCGAAAAACAGTTTTACCATTGCTTTGGCTGTGGCGCACATGGCGGGGTTTTGAAGTTTGTGATGGAATACCGACATTTTAGCTTTGTCGAAACCATCGAAACCTTGGCGCAAGAACAAGGTTTAACCGTCCCTTATGAGCGTGGCAATATTCCTCTCGAACAAGCGAAACAAATTGCCGAAGAAAAAGCGCGCGTACAGTCAAGTTGCTTAGATGTTTTGGCAGAAGCTAGTGCTTACTACAAAAATAGTTTAAGAAAATCCGATCAAGCAATTGATTATCTCAAGAAAAGAGGGCTTACAGGTAATACTGCAGCGCGCTTTGAACTTGGATTTGCTCCGGAAGGTTGGCAAAATTTGGCAAGCTGTTTTCGCGACTACAAAACTAATTCTGCTTTGCTAGAGGCGGGTTTGGTCATTGATAAAGCCTATGAAAATCAAAAAGATGGCCAAGATGTGCGTCGCTTTGATTTTTTTCGGGAACGCATTATGTTTCCGATCCACAATCATAAGGGTGAAGTGATTGGCATGGGGGGACGGATATTGGGCAAAGGTGAACCCAAGTATCTCAATTCACCTGAAACCACAATTTTTAACAAAAAATCAGAGTTATATGGTTTGTATCATGGTCAAAAAGCGATTCGTGAACATAATTGGGCTGTTGTCGTTGAAGGGTATATGGATGTGATTGCGTTAAGTCAAGCAGGAATAGGCAATAGTGTCGCCACGCTGGGTACGGCTTGTGGCGAAGCACATCTAAAAAAAATCTGGCGTTATTGTAATCATGTGATTTTTGCTTTTGATGGTGATACGGCTGGGCAAAAAGCCGCTCACCGCGTATTAGCCCTGTTAATACCCTTGGTGACGGAAAAAAAACGCGCTAGTTTTTTGTATCTGCCTAAAGAACACGATCCTGATAGTTATGTACAAACCTATGGTAAACAAGCATTTTTAAGTTTGGTCGAGCAGGCAAAACCCTTTTCAACGACCTTGATTCAATATATTTGTGACAAAGAAAATTTATTGATCCCTGAAGGACGGGCTGCTGTATGGTCTAAGGCAAAACAATGGGTCGATAAAATGCAGCCTACCAGCCTTAAGACACAAATTCTCAATGAATTTAAAAAATTATCTAACATTACACCAAGTGCGTATCCAAAAAACAACACTTATAACGCAAAAAACTATAAGAAAAAGTCATGGTTAGAAGACGTGGGTGGTGAAAAAGGTCGAAGACCGTCCCCAATAATGTTAGAAGATCGTCTTGTAGCATATATACTACACCAACCGCTACTGGTAAAAACCCTTGAAACTGAGTTGTGGCGACGGTTCGTTGATTTGGTTGACCAAACCACCAAAGCTCCTATGGCATTGAAAAAAATTACGAACCTGTTAAATAGCAGCATAAACAGCGAAAATGATCAATATTTTCATTCTGATGTATTAATGCAACAGTTCGCAAGAGAGGACGATATGGTTAATTGGCAAGCCATTGAACGCATTGCACCTCTTCTTAAAGAGGTGATTTCTGAGGAGCAGCAGGACGATTTTAAACAAGAGTTTGGTGAAATGGTGATGCAATTAGTAGGAATATATCAAAAGTTTTTTTGATTAAAATCTTAATTTAGTATATGATTGCACCTGTGATACGACTGAGATTTTAGGTAATAAGTTTTTCCGATGCCGTAAACTGCAATTTAGGGCTACTTCTTTAGTTGATATCGTGTTGGTAAAATAAGTGGTCGTTTTTGTTTTGGGTTGGCACTGGGGTTTGTTTTGATCTATTTGCCGATGTTTAAACAATCAAATGAATGACGAATAATTCTTTAATATTCATTGGTGGGTGTAATGAAAAAATTCACAATGCAGCATAACTTAGTGGCAATTGCTACAGGACTTGTGTTAGGAGCATCTTCTTGGTCAGTCATGGCACAAAGTGCTGATTTGACTCAGGTAAACAGCGCATTAGATTGCTTAACAGCGAACACGTGTAGTGCCGAAACTACTTCAGTTGCAACGGTAAGTGGCACAAAAGCAAATGCTGTGACAATCTACAATTATGATGCAGCTGGTTTTCGTGCTGTGCAAGATCGTATTACGAAAATCGAACGTAGAGCTAATGCAGGGATTGCGGATGCTTTAGCATTGCAAGCACCAGCAAATCATAGCCCTGGTAAAACGGTTTTGCGCTTGGGCGCTGGCTACTATAATAAAGAAGCCGCCGTTGGTGCTTCTTTTCGTGCAACCTCTGATAATGGTCGTTATAGCCTAACAGGTGGTGTTGCAACTAATGTTAAAGAAAAATTTCAAGGTGTTGCTGCCAATGTTGGTGCAGAATTTGCAATCGATACTTGGTAAACCGATTTTCTTGAGTTGAGTCTAGGAAACTTAAAGTAGAACCGAAAATTTAGGACATATTATGAGAGCTTTAAAATTAATTGCCTTGAGTGGAGTAGCACTGGCAGTACTTGGAGGTTGCGCTTCAACAGCACGTGATTGGTTGCCCACCGCACAATCCAAACAAATTGTTGACGACCCTAGTGATTTCAAAAAAGAATTGTATACCGTTAACTGGTTGAAAGAAGGGATTTTCCCTAATCTTGAGAACTTGAGCAAAGTTCAACCAGGCTTAACAAAAGAGCAAATTTATCATTTGATCGGTGTTCCTCATTTTAACTCAGGCATCGCCTTTGTGAATGATTGGGACTACATCATGAATTTCCGTCGTTTCACCGATCGTACCTACAATGGCACGCCGGGCGATGGTGGTGTGACCACTTGCCACTATAAAGTGAAGTTTGATCGTCAAGGAACATTTGGCCCTTATAAAGTGACCGGTACCGCGTGGAAAGAACAAGGATGTCCCGTTGTTCCAGATCCACTAAAAGAAACGATTGTTCGCGAAATTGCTCCAGCACCAGCACCACCTCCACCAGCGCAAGAATCTGCAGTGTTGAATTTGAATGCGGATGCGTTGTTTGCGTTTGACAAGTGGACGCTCAACATGACGGTTAAAGGCAAACAGGAGTTGGCGCGCTTAACAAGTTTCTTGTCATCTAAACAATATGACACCGTTGAGTTGGTGGGTCATACCGATCAGTTAGGTAGTGATTCGTACAACCAACGTTTGTCTGAGCGTCGGGCACGGACTATTGCAAACTATATTGTCCAACAAGGCGTACCAGCAGCGAAAATTATTGCTCGTGGTGCGGGCGAATCGATGCCAGTTGCTGGTGCTGATTTGGCAAGTTGTCCGAAAAAACCACGTAGTGCGCAGATTAGTTGTTTACAACCAAGTCGTCGTGTAACGGTGGAAGTTAAAGGTTTGGTCAACCCAGGTACTACCACATACTACCCACCTGGTAGTGCGGCAGCACCTGGAGCGTCGATGAGTGTACCTGCAGAAGCACCAGTTGAAACGGGCACAGTAGTGACACCGCCAGCTGATTATGTTTCTCCAACGGTTCCTGAGCCTGTTGCGCAGTAATCATCGGTTTTCTGCTAAAAAGCCAAGGTTAGCCTTGGCTTTTTTGTTTTTTGGAGAGCACCTCAAGACTTTATTTATCCCAAATTTTCCATTAGAAATCTAAAGCCAAACAAAATCAATCGGTTGTTTTAATGGTTTCCATTAGAGATTTTCTTTGCTAATCAATGAACTCCGCTTTTAATGGAAAATCTGGGTTAAAGTAAATAATCGTTTGATTCATCGGGCTTTGACGGTAGCCACTGGTTACTTGACAGTCTCTAACTTGTAGTTTTCGCCTTTAATATCGAGTACCACCACTGATTCGTGATAGACCAAGAGGTTAGGCAACCCCTTTGCCACCAGTCACGATAGACTCGTTGCGATCATGTGGCAAGTCACCTGTACAACATAACGCCCTAAATTTATTGGCTTGGTGGTAAGTCAATGCAAGCATCATCTTTTACTATTTTGATTAAGACCGCTCAATAACTCTTACATGTCCATCATTAACATTGCTAGCAACCTCTGTAACTTTATTTTGATCCTCCAAAGTACGCTGCTCAATCCCTTTGACATGTGGTTCGATACTTGCAATCATCTGATCAACAGGGCGATCAAACTTATTTTCATACGTTGCTTGTTTATTGAAAGACCCCACCAAAAAATCCATGATTTCTTTTTTGTCTTCAAAGGTTGGCAACTTTAAAAATAGCGGGTCTTTCATGTGTGTCGATGCGGCCAAGGCGAGATTATCTTTTTGATTTTCTGTCAAATAAGGAGATTTCAAACTGCCTAATAATTGGTCATAGCCCTTAAAACTCTCTAGCAAAGATGGGTCTTGATAAGTAAAGCCACTTTGACTTACCTTTGGTTCTTGTGTCGACACATTTGATGCTATAAAAACTTCCCCGTTTGACGTTACAGCCTTTGCCTCCATTGGTAAACCTTCTTGAGCCGTTGCTTGGTTTATCACTTTAGTTGCAACGGCATCATGTGTTTCCCTAACTTCGCCCACCAGACCAATAGATTGATTTTGCACAATATTTTTGGTAATACTTTTTTCATCCCTTCCCTGATCTGGCTCAATGGGTTGCACCGTTGCCAATTGAGGCAAAGTACCATGTATTCCTGCTTGTGCTTCCTTGGCAAATTGGTCACAAAAATTGTCACGAAATTGTTGTTGAATGTTTCCAGGCATTCCTTGCAGTTTTTCATTGAGTTGTGAAAACTTCTCAGCAAATTGCATCGTTTGATCTGTATTGAGGTTGGCTAACAAAACCGAGACTTTATCGGTCTGTATGTCTGTCCTTGGACCATAAGGATACACCAGCTCACCTTCAGAGCGACCTTGCTCCATGTCTTCAAGAATTGACCTTTGCCGAGTATCGAGTTCTTTAACAAGCATCAAAGCAACAAAGTCGTCCTTAACTAAATCGGTTAGTTCATCAATATTTTGTGGAAAATGGTTGTCAAATGTCACAAGCTCTTTGCTAATACCCAGTGGTCCTTTGACACTAACCGTGCCATGCCAATTTCCATCGCCTTGATTTTTATAAACCAACTCAAGATGACCATCTATGCCATACTTGCTAATACCGTAGTTAAAACCAATTTCAGTCACCGTGCTGCCGTCTCGTTTCATCCAGCCACCGCCTGCGCCTAGATTTAGTCCCATTTCGCCTTTGCCTGATGTTTCGTGTTTCCACGTGATAACGCCAGCATTTACGGTAAAACCATAGTTATTATCTTTAGCATCCGCTATATCAATCGTAACACTACCTTTACCACGACCAATCTTTATTGTGTTATTGATAGGATCAATATCAACAGTACCATCTTTCGTTGGAACGGGTATCTGATTGTCATCTTGCACCAGCGCATCTTTTGTATTACCCATGTCTTCCTCCAATTAAATTCAAATTAAAATTTACCAAATTTCTGACCCGCTACCAGCCTAACATAACCAAGAGTTGGAAAGGCTCGATAATTACTAAAAGCTTCGTGGTTTATTTCTTTTAATATATTAGAGCTATTAATATGAATGCCCATATTCGTTTCACTAGACGGACTTGTTTTATAGAAACTATTAAAATAAACATAAAAGTAAGTTTGCTGCTTAAAATAGGTTGGATTTAAAAACACCATCGTTTCTCTTTTGTCTTTTAGCGAACTAAAAAATTGCTGCTTGTCTTCAAATGGGTGAGAAAAAAGCAAATCGCCACCTTCCATATTTTTTTTCATTAGTGATCGACTTTCATCGTTACCTGGCACTCGCCACTGGCTCACGCCACATAAATTGAGTTGATTAACAGCCTTGGCATATTCATACGTATT